TTTTAAAACTCAAAATAATTAAATCTGCTTAAATTATTTAAATATTCTAGTTTAAATAGAAATTTATAGTTGATATTTATATTATTTTTAATAACTACTTTTGATCATGAAATATAATAGTAATATAAAATTTATCTAAATTATTGTAATTCTGGAAAATACCTTGAAATGATTTTTATCCACTTTGAACATTCAAACATATGTTTTAAATGTTCTAAACTTAGTTATATATATGTAATTTAAAACTTAAAATAATTATATATATATATATATATATGTATACATGTTTAAGTTAATTTTCTATTATATTCTGAATAATTGTTTTGTTGTATTTGTAAAATGATTTCTTAAAAGAACTACTTTAATTATGAAAAAATATTGTAATTTTAATTTATATTAATTGTTTTGAAATTTTACAGTATTTTGATCCACTTTCACCATTTAAATATATGTTTTACACCATTGGATCCACTCTTGAACCGCTAGGTCCACTTGAACTACTCTCAATCTGCTTAAACCGCTATATCTGCAACGTTTGTTCCACTTTTTCCATTCAAAGCCAAAGTGTGAACAAAAAAAAATCTATTAAGCCCGAGACCAGCAAACAAAAATCAACATGACATGTACCTGACACTAATAGTGAATTCACTCATTAATACGGACACGCGAAGCTGGAATATGCAGGAAATCCGGACCTTGGTGTATCCTCAAGATGCGGAAATAATAGAAAGCATACCATTGAATAAGACTCAGATGGAGGATCGAGATGGATGACATTTTACACATAACGGAAATATACGGTGAGGTAGGGCTATCAAGTGGAACATATTTATCCAGATAGTGCAAGATCATCAACAATGTTGGGACTAACGGTAGACCCTTTAAAGGCATATTGCTGGAAGGTACGATACCCCCCAAAAATAAAGCATTTTCTATGGCAGCTAATATCGGGATGTATAGCGGTAAAGGAAAACCTAAAATCATGAGGAATGCAAGGAGAAATTTGTTGTAGTAGGTGTGGAGCAGATGAGGAATCGATTAATCATGTGTTCTTTGAATGTCCTCCAGCACGACAGGTTTGGGCATTATTAAAGATACCGCCAAACCCATATGTTTTCCCTACATGTTCTCTTTTCACAAATATGGACCATTTACTCTGGCGGATAATTCCAACTGAATGATCACCACTTTGCATGGATACTATGGTACCTTTGGAAAGCTATAAATAGTAAGACATTTAGTAACTTGGATATTGACCCACGAGATATGTTGAACCTAGCGGTAACGAAATTGACTCTCTGAATTGAGGCTCAGCTGGCTCAGTTGACAGAGCCACATAGAGTTTCGCACCAGAGACAGGGCGAGGACATTCCGACCTTTCCAGGCAGGTGGTGTTTTACGGATGGTTCATGGAAAGATAAGGAAGAGTTCCTTGGACAAGGTTGGTACAGCACTCTAGAAAGTTTTCAGGGATTAATGGGTGCAAGAAATGTTAGGGCAAACCTATCGCCCCTACACTCAGAGGTGGAGGCGTTAATTTGAGCAATGAAATGTATGAGGAATTTGCGTCAATATCATGTTACTTTTGCAACGGATTGTTCTTAGGTGGTGAAGATGGTGTTGGAACCAGAAGAATGGCAGGCATTTGCAAATTATCTGGAGGATATCAAGATGCTGAAAGAGAGTTTTCACAGCTCATAGATCATCTATGTACCACAAACACAGAATACACGGGCGGATAGTCTAGCACGCAATGCCAGGAAACAATCCTCCTTTGTTGTTCATATGGATGCAGAGCTCCTAGTTTGGTTCGCAGAGTCTGTATGAGTTTGTTTGTTTGATGACAAAAAAATAAAATTAAGGCATCGAGTGGAGAGTGGATAAAATGATGGGGAAACCACAAAGTGGAACGACCGCTTAATAATCTTCATTTGTATCTATACTTGTGTTCTTACAATAAAAATATTAAAAGTACTATTTTGAACTGCTTGTGGTTCAGTGGAAGAACAAATATATGGACTTTTAGTGAATAAATGGAACGTGAGTGAAAAAGAGTGTTTCTATTAGCTTCACTTTCTACATTAATTTATTAAATTTATTTATATATGTTAATTAATTAAATAATTCCATACATACAGAGCTCTATTCAGTATTTGATATGATAAAAATTGACATTTTGAATTAGTTATGACAATATATTTGAGATCAAGTCGTCTTGGCCTAAAAAGAAATGAGTTTTAACAGGAACTTCCGATATGGGTTCGATTCATCTTGGCCACCTAGTTGTGTCATTTATGGATTAATTATGTATCTGGATGCAAGTCCTCGTACTGTTAGTTTTTAGGCATAGAAAACTTTTGTGATTCCAACACTAATCAAAAAAGTTTATTTATAATATTGAATGAAAATTATAAAAAACTACTTTAGAAATAAATAATGTTAATTAGAAAAGTAAATAACAGTTTAAATTTTTGAAAATTAATTTTAAATTGGTTTTACACCGCTTTCAACAAAATATAATTATTTTCAATTCATCCAAAAGAATACACATATTTAATTTTAAAACTGAAAATCTTAATATAAATGCTTAAAAATTTTCAATTATAATTTGAATAAAATTTCATATTTTTATTTATAAAGCTATTTAAAAATAAATCTTTGTTAATTATGAAAATAAATAGTGTTATAAATTATATATATTAGTTTAAATTGGTACAATATTTTGAACCAATTTTTATCTATTTTCACCATTCAAACCTATGTTTTGAACTGCTTGATCCACACGTGTACCACTCGATCCGCTTGATCCACTTTTTTGCGCTCAATCCGCTTGATCTGTAACACTTGTTCCGCTTTCTCCATTCAAATCTTAGATTCCCCTTCATTTCGTGTATTAATTAAGTAGATGGTGGATTGTAGTTAACGCAAATAGTTTATACATGAAAATTCGGTGACAGATTTATATGATTACCACTACCAGTCTACCACAACCAACCATAAAATTTTTATTTTATATATATAATTATATACGGTCACTACAAGAATTATATTTTGATTTTTGACTATTAAATCTGAAAGAATTTGGTTAGAAAAATAGCATTTTCATCTAATTTCTCACCACTTATAGTCATCAAAAAGCTCGGTCAGAAATCAAAATTGGTTAGAAAGTGCTCAATAATTACTAACAATATAAATGGTCAGTAATATCGTCAGAAATATCGTCATAAGTTGGTCACAACACTATTGACCATTTCAAAATGTGTTACTAACCCATTTTATTTTGACAAATTGTACTACTTAGTGACTATTCACTACAAAAAATGAGGTTTGTATCATCACTTGTTTTTAAAATTTATATCACTTATTGAATGACACAAATGTATTACCATCACTTAAATAATTGATTTCGATAGTGGCGATGCAATATAAGGCATCGGTTATAGTAACTGATGGTTATATTTCTATCAATTATAATAAATGATACTATAATGCATCTCGTATTATAAGTGATATAATCATATAAATATTAGTGACACTTAGCATAAATGATTTAATTATTTGCATCGATTATTTTAAACGTTGTAAATACTTGCGTCAGGTTTTCTAGATGATACATTTTTTATCACTTGAAATATGTGATGTCAATATTAGCCTTACTCTTATAAACTATGGAAAATGTATTATCACTTATAACAATTGATACTATTAATTGTAATGCTTTTGTTAAGTGATTGGAAAAAAAATGTTTCACTTATTTTACTTGATGTAAATATAACACTGTTGCATCATTTAATATACTTGCTACAAATACTCACACATCACTTATGTAACTGAAGTTATATATTTTCTACAGTAATTACAAATTTAAATTCATTAAGATAATAAAAATTTATTAATGATATAAAATAAATAAATGATTTTTCAGATAAATATCAAAATACATACAAAAGTTAAATATTAAAACGAGAACCAAACATAAGAACTATAGTAACTAATAAAATAAATAATCCAACCAGCTGTCTTAACTATTATTAAAAGTGCCTGCTACCATACTCTAATTCACGGGATGACGATCTATTTCCCCCTGAAAAGTATCATATATCAATAGATACACACAAACTTTTGACCATGTTCCATTTCTCCACATAATAGAAGTTTGAGTTCTTTATCCCCACAATTATAAAGATCGAACTCTATTTCCCCATACCGTCGACTTTAAAAACCGCAATACACATAAGTTTGGATTAACGCCGGTTTACTGTTTATCATTAAACCGTAATCTATTGCTACCCAACATAACCCACGGTTTAACCGAAAAGATACGATTAAAACCTGATTATAACCCAATTATAACCCAGTTAATGGTTCTAACCCGACCACCCTAAATCCCCAAATCCCCAGTGTTCTTCATAGTAACCCTAGAAAGAAAGAAATAGAGGCGACGACAATTTCTCTCAAAAACGAAGCCTTTACCATTCGATTTCAGTTGATTACAATGGAGACAGTCGGTGTAAACACGATTCCTTCACTTAGAGATGAATCAGACGACGAATAAGAGATGAAAAGACACGCTTTCCGGGTTGAAGAAGAGGTAGCTGCATTCATCAACGCACCATTGACGACCCACTTGAAGCTCCAGAAACATCACTCATGTTTCAATTTCTCTAATCTCTCCCAGAAATCAGTTTCCCCAATTCAATTTTTTTAGGGTTCGTTACTTTACATGTTCTATGAACTCGGGTTTTTTAAAATTAGATTCGGGTGAAGATCGGGTTTTCGAGTGGGTTTGGTTATGTTTAAAATCGGTTTATTTTGGTACTATACTGGTTCATCTAAGTAAACCATTAAATTTGACGGTATGGAGAAATAGAGTTCGAACTTTATAATTGTGGGGATATAGAACTCGAACTTATATTATGTGGGGAAATGGAACATGATCAAAAGTTTGTGTGTATCTAGTGATATATGATACTTCTCAGGGGGAAATAGATCGTCAACCCCTAATTCACATGATCTATGTTTTGGGTTGCCTGTAAAAAATATCAGAATATTTATTTATTTTTAATTAAAGAGTAATGCTTTAAAATATATGTTGTAACATTAAAATCGTAAAGTACCTCAGAGTTTTGTTGATTGACCAAATTTGATAAAATATCAGCAAAAGTTTTGGTTGATTGGCCAAGTTTGACAGAACACCAGCTAAATTTGGCACAATTCCATTAGCCTACATATAAATAGTATTTAGTAAACAATAAAATACAGAAATAATATATAAACACTAATTAGTATAAAACAACCTGAACAGTAGTAGCACCAACTAGTTGTTGGATCATTCCTGCTAAATTCTGGACTTGACTTTGCAATCCTGAAACTTGTGACTTGAGCTCAACAACTTCAGAATTTGACGCTTCTACATCTGGAGTACTGGACATTTTCAATAGCTTTGAAGGTGTAGGTCCACGTCCTAGGCACCTGACTCGTACTGATCGCTCGGGTCTAAAAACTTTGGAATATTCATCGTCTAAACTTGCAGTGATATTTGACCTTTCAACTGAAAGATTTTCACTCATCAAAAGTGTGAGTTCATCCTGAAATATTTAAACAATATAAACATGTAAAATTTAATAGTCATATAAATATTAGAAATAAATTTTTATATTTCAAAGAAAAGTTCCATCGGACTTCTTACGGCTTGCAATGAAAAATTCTGCTCTGCATGGTGTTCTTCCTGTTTGGTATTTCTAAAGAAAATATAAGAAAAAATATTTAACTTATTGTCCAATACAAATATAAATATGTACCACATGAATGGTTTGAAGAATAAGGACTCATGCAAACACAAATTACTTACAATGTTGCGTCGCTTCCTCGCAAAACTCTTTCTTTCGCATACATGTGGTATAATATTCTTTTTATGGTTATTGATATTCCGTTCACGCATTTTCTAAAATTTGATACTTACTCCCAAATCTTGTAATATGTATAAATATATTGTATATTCAATACATAAACATACCTTCCATTTTTCACTGAATCTATAGAAAACAAAACCATTCCACTGAACTTCTGGAACCATGATAGGACAATTCAGTATAGTACGGTCATTTCGTTTGTACATCTTCCAGAGACGAACTTTAAAATACTTGCACTGCTCCCTAATACACTTAGAACATAGTTCTTTTTCGTGTCCGGATTATCAAACCAGAATTTTGTCTGTAATAAAAGCCATAGTTTTTTATTACAAAAAATAGCCAGAAAAGTATAAAAACCAATAACTATTTTGCAAGAATAATAATATATTTTGTTTACCAGAATCATGTCCCAGGCTTTGTCCTTCCGGTGAGGAGCGAATACCCTCCAATCAGCATATTCAATTGGCAACAAATTAACATCATTGCTCAACTGACCAAGACCCCAATAAACCTCCAGAATCTTCATCAGACTGAACACAATCTTCATCAAAATGAACTATCACTTTGCGATTTTTCAATTTCCAAACTTCTTTTGTTGTCAACGTTTGTTCTTGTATTTCTCTATTTGAATATATTTATTAATCAGACAATTCATTAGTTATCAAAACTAAGTATATATATTCAGTTATCTAAAAATAATACGTGTCAATAAATAACTGAACGTCACCTCTGACTTGCACTTTCCATTTGAAAGTGTTACACTCTAGAGAAAACTGTGGTGGACAACTGAAATCCAACCGCGTCTCCAAAAACTGCGAGTCCTCCGGTGCTTGCATATCATCAGAATCTGTAAACTCCATAACTCTACACAGAAAATATAAACCTAGTTAATATTGACCAAAACAAATACTGATGAAATCACATTAATGATAGTTAAAAATAGTATATTTGAAATAAATATGTTATATAACTTGAACTGTAAGTGATTTAAGTATTTACTTCTTCAAAAATATATTATGATAGGCTACTATCCCCCATGTCATATAAATCTCTAGGTTGGACATGCACAAAAATATTCTTGCTCACATGGATCTTCTACATAATACACAATTTTCGCTTGAGAGGCTAAGACATAAGGTTCGTCTTCTTCTTCGTCCCTCGTGTGTAACAAACGATCAAAGTTCACCATGTTATGACCATAAGCATCATGTTTGTAGCCTCGAATACTTCAAGTCTCAGCCCATTTACACTTGAAAAGCACAACTCTAAAAATATCATAATAGTTTAGTTCGATAACTTCTACTAACTTCCCATAAATAATCTATATCTCCTACTTTAGGATTTTGATCATGCGAGCTCGCATAACTCACTGTATTAGCATTCACATAAAGACCACTGTTTTGTGTCTTCAGGCCATCATCTCTTCCTGATGCTCTAAACTTATAGCCATTGATATTATATGATGAATATTTCACTATTTTTCAGACAGACCCAAAGCTAAGCATCTAATATCGTCAGACACCCCTTCAACATCATTTTTGTCTACCCTATCTTTTAGCCATTTCCCAAAATTAAGATGCACTTCTCTGTCAACATCTAAGACGTGGCTCCGCTTGATTTGACGAATCTTTTTCTTGCTAAGCTCTTTTTTGTAGCGCCTAAATTAACCATTAAATATAAATGGTTTATTATTTAAAATAAGGAAAAATAAACTTAAAGTAGAGTACATATTGATTAATAAGGAAAACTTACTCTCTCAAAGGATCTAGGAATTGACAGTTCATCAATATAAACCGATGTGCCTGTTGTCTCTCGACATAACTAAGTGTATAAAGCTAACCAGCTCCGACAAATTGGCCTACATTTGGGAAACTTAATTGAAGCTCTGAGTTTGATGCATTATTTTGCACTGATGAAGGCCGATCATCAACTCTTCAACCTCTGTTGAATCTTGTCTCTATATCATTGAGATACATTGAGCAAAATGTAACACATTCATAAGCCAAATATTGTTCGCATATTGATCCTTCGGGTTTGGCGTGATTACGAACATAAGATTTGAAATGTCCAAGTGTTCTGCACATATTTTAATTATGTGAGATACTCCTATATTCACCAGTCATGAAATATTTATGTGACTAATAGTTTACGACGATTACCTTTCAGTTGGATACATCAAGCGAAAAGCCACTGGTCCACCTTGTTTTACTTCTTCGACGAGAGGCACAATTAATGTACCATCACAGTGAAAATGAGGGAGGGATTACCATTTCCAGATGGAATAGAGTCATTATAATATGTTCCTGTAGTTTAATTCATCTGGATCAATGACTCTTGATGATATATTTCGGAAAAAAACGAGATAACTCAATAATGGCAGATGTTACATCTTGTCGGAGCAGATTCCGAACTGCTATTGGCAATAAATCTCTCATTATAATATGAGAGTCATGACTTTTAAGACCGATAGCTTTTGATTCTTTACATCAACACAGCTATATATATTAGATGCATATCCGTCCGGCAATTTTACATTTTTTAAGACACCTAAAAAATGTCTTTCCCACTACGATCCAAAGTGAAACTTGCTGGTGCATATTTACATTATTATCAAGCCACAACTCAGAGCGAATACCAAACTCACAGAGATCTTTTCTAGCACTTCAGTTATCTTTTGACTTCTCCTTGTCGTCTAACAATGTGTAAACAATATTGTCAAACACATTTTTTTCTATATGCATAGCGTCTAAATTATGTAACAGGACCATAGATTCCCAATAACGCAAGTCAAAAAATATACTCCTCTTTTTCCATTGTTGATCATCATACTTTTCCATACCACTTCGACCTCTCTTTTTACAAACCAAGTCACTTCTCTTTCCAAGAGTAATTTTAACTCGTCTTTGTTGATCTTTAATTGTAGAACCTGTTGGTGTAACTGGTGGATTTCTCAGTTCTACGGTTCCATCAAAAGTAGCTTTGTTTTCCTGATACTTATGATTTATGGGAAGGAAACGACAATGGCCCATAAAAAAATTCTTTTTTCCATAGCGTAAACGTCGACCAACGGTATCATAGTTGCAGCTTGGACATGCCAATGCTGTATAAGTATTCCAACCGGATAAATTTCCAAAACCCGGAAAATCACTAATTGTCCACATAAGAGCTGCTCTCATGCTAAATTTCTGATTTGTTGAAGTATCTCTAGTTTAAATTCCATCAAACCATAACTCCTTTAGTTCTTTGATAAGGGGCTAAGAACACATCAATATCATTTCTAGGCATTTTCTTTCCAGGAATAATCATAGAAAGGATCATCGATGTTTGCTTCACAGATATCCATGGAGGAAGGTTATATGGAAATAGGATCACCGGCCATATACTATAATTTGTCTTAATGTACCAAATGGGTTAAGACCGTCAGTGGCCAAGCCAAGACAAACGTTTCGTGGATCCGATGCGAATTCGGGAAACTGTAAATCAAAAGCCTTCCAAGCTCCACTGTCTCGAGGATGTCTAAGCTTTCCATCACCATCAGGAGCAGTTGCATGCCATCTCATATCCGAAGATGTTTTTGACGACATAAATAGTCTTTTTAGACGGGTTTTTAAAGGAAAGTAACGTAAGATCTTTGCAGGAATTTGTTTCAGATTATTTGTAGACTGAGATGCCTCACTACCTGTAGAACTAACACCTTTCCATCTAGATGCTTCACAAATTCCACATGTTTCTCTATCAGAATTTGCCTCCCAATATAGCATAGAATCGTTTGGACATGCATCGATTGATTCATATGTCAGCTCGAGCTTGCGAATAACCTTTTTCATGTCACTGAATGAGTCTGGGAATTTTGCTTTTGGAAAGGCTCTTAAAGATATTCAAGCACCATAGAAATTCCCTTATCACTGATCCCGCACATACACTATACAACTTCAGTATGAATGTCAACTTTGTAAGTTCAGTGCAGCCAGGGTAGAGGTTTTGATTGAAATCAGTAAGAAACTCATAAAAACTAGTTTCACTGTTGGTTCCTGATGGGTTATCATGATCGATTGGTTGGTCAGAAGAACTAGATCCAGCATATGTATTGATGTTGATTCTAGGAAATTGGTCATCCAAGAGATTTGCCATTGAATTAGAATCATCAGGAGCATAAAGGATTCATGTTGCTTTTGCAGTAGTATCGACATCCTCTCCATGTAAAACCCATTCCTTATAAGAACTTAGAAATCCGAAACACATTAAGTCACCTTCAATATCTTGTCTTAGCTTTGATTTGGATAAAGAACAATGATTACATGAGAATTTTAACATGTTCACTTTAAATTTTCTAAAACCAAAATCTCAGAATTTTTCTACGCCATTTGAATAGTTTTGACATAAACGAGACTTGTTTATCCATGACTTGTCCATGATGGCCTAAGAAATATACATATGTATATATATATATATATACAAATTTAGTTAACAAATTATTTTTAGTATATAGTTAAAGTTGCGATACGTATGATTTCATAACAGAAATTTTTTTAGTTAAGCAGATTCTAACTTAGCTGATCGTCAGATATATATTATTATTTTCTACAGTACAAAAATAAAAGAAAACAGGTGCAGGAAAATTAAAAGAAAGAGAGACAGGAGGACTCTGCTTTAGTGAACTAAAAACAGAGAAAGAAATAGAGATAACACGGTCAATTTAGACTGGAACAAAAAACGACCAGACTTTCACCACGCTTGGAACCAGTGTTAAAAAGAGCAACGGACTTCTACGTTGTTATATTTAAGAGTCTGTTCATCTAAAAATGACTGGTTCTCAGATTTCAACACTAAAACTAAACAAGCGTAAGATTATTCGTAGATATCTTATAAGCAAGTCAAAAGATTGGATAACTCATGATTTTAAACTCAATAGATCCAAACAAAATAGATATTTAACCTAAATAAAAAAACAACAACAGAACTACGGACTGGATTATCTAAACAGCAGTAACACCAACGAATAAGAAATCAATGAAACCAAATCAACGATAGAGAAATCAATGAAACTCGATATTACTTGTCACTATTATGCCATCAGTAGATTAACAGAGAAAAGAGGTGGTAATTTACCTCGCTAAACGTCGTAGGGTGATTGGATTCACGAAAATATTCAATGACTAGGTGTTGACCCGCGCCTGGCGCGGAGTGAGTGATGAAAAGAGGTTATTACTATAATATGTAAGATAATATATATATAAATTATTTGTATTTTTTGTTAGAGCAAAGTTTGTGTATTGGATATATCCATTGATTGAAGTGTTTATATGAGAAAAAAAACCCAGCGTAAGGAAATATTTTTATTAATTTATTAAATAATTTATGAAAAATAAAACATAAAATATAATTGTTTATTTCATAACCAAAGTATGACGATAATAATAAAATAAATAATTGTAATATATTTTGAATTTTTAAAACCTACGTATATTTATATATCTAAACAATTACTTATATATTTATAGAATCATTGAATGTTAAGAAAACCTTTATCTAAGAAAGAAAATATACATAGCAGAAATTTTTATATTTTAAATTAAATGAAAATATCATGTATCCCACCAAAAGACACTGTTTGAATCTTCAAAAGTTAGTCTTTAGTCAGCTTAACTTATGTAAATAAACATCAAAATAAATTAATCAAGAAACATTAAAATGTTCATATATACTTCTTTTGAGAACTTCTATCCTTGGAAGTTCAGGATCAAACGAAATGTGAGAACATCATTCAAATTTCTTCTAATTATATATTTGAAATGACCAACTAAATAACTTACATGACATATATACATATATATATATATATATATATATATATATATAT